GGGGAGGGAGGGAGGGGGGTGTCACCTGTGGAGTGAGTCCGCTGAGAAACGCAGCCGCGGAAAACAAGGAAGGGGCCGCCCTGATTGGTTCGCCCCACCCCGGAAGCTTCGGCACTCCGCCGTTTCCGGTCCTCCCCCGAGGAGGAAGCCTAGAGCGGCGTCCTGTCGAGGGTCGCGCCGTCCGGGCTCACGATTGCTGCCAGGCTCCCCTCGCTTGTTTTCCCCTCTATCTCCCCCCCCTTGGAAGTAACAGCGAGGAAGGAGGGTGAAGGAAGCGGCGAGGGAAAGCGGGCGCTCACATCCTGTAGGCACGCCGGGTTCCTCCCGAAAGAGGACTTGGAAAGCCCTCGATGATCGCCCGCCAGTCGCGACACGTGGAAGCGGGACCCCGCGGAACGACCCGAGACCGTCCATGGACGAAGCGGAGCGTGCAATGGCGAGCCGCCCGTATCGCCTCCTCCTCCCCCTCCAGACCTTGCTGGCTTTCCCCCACTTCCCCGGTGGACCGGAAAGCCTGGGAACGGAGGAAGTGCCCCCGGAGGAGAGAAAAAAAAGAGGGCGAGGAGGATGAACCCAGGAAAGAGGAGATAGGCACAGGAAGGGGCAAAGGAGCCCGCTGGCCGAAAGGGTGAAGCCCCCAGGGAGGTGCCAGAAACATCTGGTTCAGTGGTAAACCATTCAGCCGGATCTCCCCATTTTATCTTAAGACACAGGAAAGAGCATAGGGCTGTATGTAGTTCAGTTTCTCCCATGAGAAAAATAATATTTGAAAGGTGGCTTAGATTGTCCTTAAATAATTATATTATTGTCACTGAAGAGAAGCGTTGAAGATCATGTACACCCGTGGAATAATAGCTCGTGATAGAACAATAGGGTTGGGGTTGCAATGGCAGCCTGTGAAAGCAGAATGACATGCCTGATGCTATATAATGATGGCTACTTACAGAATCCACCGGCCCCATCATCTCCTGGCAAATAGAAGGGGAAGATATGGAGGCAGTGACAGAGTTTACCTTCCTGGGCTCCATGATCACTGCAGATGGTGACAGCAGCCCCGAAATTAAAAGATGCCTGCTTCTTGGGAGGAAAGCGATGACAAAACTCGATAGCATCTTAAAAAGCAGAGACATCACCTTGCCAACAAAAGTCTGAATAGTCAAAGCTATGGTTTTCTCTGTAGTGATGTACGGAAGTGAGAGCTGGACCATAAAGAAAGCTGACCACCAAAGAATTGATGCTTGTGAACTGTGGTGCTGGAAGAGGCTCTTGAGAGTCCCCTGGACTGCAAGGAGAACAAACCTATCCATTCCGAAGAAAATCAACCCTGAGTGCTCACTGGAAGGACAGATCCTGAAGCTGAGGCTCCAGTACTTTGGCCATCTCATGAGAAGATAAACCTCCCTGGAAAAGTCCCTCATGTTGGAAAAGAGTGAAGAAGAGAAGGGGACGACAGAGGATGAGATGGTTGGACAGTGTCATCGAAGCAACCAAGATGAATTTAACCCAACTCTGGGAGGCAGTGGAAGACAGGAGGGCCTGGCGTGCTCTGGTCCATGGCATCACGAAGAGTCAGACACGACTAAACAACAAGACTAAACAACAACTTACAGAATGGTGAAGATTGGAATGACAGTCGTGAGAACAGATGACAGCCTGCACTTAATGAGAACCTCTCTGAGCCTCATGTGACAAGTCTAAAACTGGGATGATGTTCCATTAATGTTATTATTGAGTGCAAGGAATTACATTAAACTAATAAGAACTGCTTTTATTTTTTCCATTATAAAACTTTGACAGTGTGTTTCAGCACATTAGGAAACATAAACTTGATCAATGCATTAAATTATGATTTATGACCTAACATTTTAATTAAAAATTACACACAACTCATCATCCCAATTTATTTCAGAATATTTTGGAAAACAGATGTTGAAAACAGTTTTAGTATTGTGCTACCACACATAAATGCTTCTTACTAGTACCCATACTTTTTGCAAAATGATCATTATGTATATTTTATTCTCTGCCATGTTATATGCAGTTTATTGATGCATTTTCAGAATAAACAGTCAAACTATTCTTGCTTCTCACTTGCCGGAGGTTGGATATAATCACAGTTATCCTGACTTTTAGTTCTCAAACAAATGAGACTCTTGAGTTTTTTCAGCAAATATTTTTCTCCTTTCCCCATATATTTTAACTTAAATCATTAGCTATAATAATGTGTGTTTTCTGTCATTTTACATGATCAAAGTATTTTAGCTTTCTGTATTGTTTATGGTTTCTTGGTTCATATTCATTTTTCTTGATTCATTTCCTTAATAATAATTACAGGTTGTCAAGTCAATTCCAACTTACGCTGAGCCTTTCCTAGTTTTTCCATCCATAGGATATTCAGAAGTAGTTTACATTTCCCTTCTGGTGTATTCTGGGACTTTGCAGCTTGCCCAAGGCTACACAGCCTGGTTCTTCCGGGAAGCACAGTGGGGAGTTGAACTCCCACCGTCTGGTGGTGTAGCCAGGTATCCAACTCACTGAGCTGTCCTTTTACTGACCACACTCAATCTGGGAAATGCTTAGCATTCTACTATAAATCCACATTTCAAATGCTTCTAGCTTTTTTACACTAGCCTATTTTTAAAGTCCATGATTTCGTACCACATGGTAGGAAGAAGAATGTATATGCCCGCAGGTACTGGAAGACCTAAGCAGAAAAAAGCTGACAAAATAGTGGGTTGATTGTTCCTGTGTTCTGTGCTCTCGTCAGAACCAATTTGTAGCGACCTTAATAGGGTGTCCAAGGTAAGAGATATTTAAGGAGTGGCGTTACCAGTTCCACTTCCCCTAGGAGTTTCCATAGCCAAGTGGGGATTTGACTCTGGGTCTCCTGAGACTACTTCGTTACTCTATCCACTACACCACTGGTTCTTAACCTTTGTTTCTCAGATGTTTTTGGACTGCGACTCCCAGAAGCCTTCACCATCAGCTCTGCTGGCTGAGGTTTCTGGGTGTTGCAGTTCAAAAACACCTGAGTAACAAAGGTTAAGAACCACTGCACTACACTACACTGGGTATTGGAGTTGTTCCTACCAATTGCCTCTTTAGGCTTTTACTTGTTAGCTAGCTCTTTTTTACAAACAGCTTCAGCTGCCACAGAGGCTATTTCTCCAGCTTCGCTCAAGATCCAGCCTTACTGGTTCAATGGTGAATTGGGTACTATAAAAAGAACTGCTACTCTTGACATTTCAACCTTTCCACAAATTCTGTATTTTCTTTATTTTTAAGGTATTTGCAAGAGTGTTTCCTCTTGCATCTTTTATTTGATAGTCTTTCAAACAGATTCTTACAGCATTTCCTTAAGAAAAGAGACCATGTTGTCTTTTTCTACATTTGCAGTGTCTTCTCATTGACGATAGCCTTAGGGGACAGATTTGATTAGTCAGAATAATGTCCATAATGTTATTGACTATCTAGAACATATCCCTTCAGTTTGCATTCTCGGGAAGAGATGGCAATTCATGGACTGTTGTGTGTCAGTGCCTGCTGAATGTATACATGAAGTCATAGGTTTCCCTTGGGAACAGAAAATTCGGGATATTTCAGTAAGACCTACTTACTAGTGTAGAATGCCTGGAAAGTACTGATAGGTGTTTGTTTTCTTAAAATTAGGACAGAAGTGCAATTTAGCTGAATAGGTGTTTTCACAGCAGATTTAGCTTTGGTAAAAAAAATCTCAATTCCCAAAATCTGTGGGTGTTTCTTTTGGGCTGACTCAGCATACTGGGGTGTTTCTTTTGGGCTGACTCAGCATACCACCTCCTTCCTTTGTTCAGACTCTATTTTGTTTTACAAAAAGATTGGCTCTTTAAAGAAAAATCTTCCTGCATGCTAAGAGATGGCAAACTCTGTGCTATTCATAGTGTGTGTATGTGTCTGTGTGTGCACACACACACAGTCTAGTTACAGGGAACCGCATAATTCACCTTACCCTCTGCAGGTCAGGATCAATTAGATGATACCGGGGTTCTGGAGGAAAAGGGAATGATATGACAGGGAGATGAATCAATTGGTCTTCACACATTATTTTCCTTACATATTTGAAAACATTGTGATATCAATGCACTTTTGTTGGAGGGACCAACTGGCCATTTATCTTATTCAACGCCTAAACTGCTCTTTGGAATTAGCTATAATAAATGATCTGCCCTGCTGTGTGTAGTGCTATGCTACATTTCTTCATGCATGTAGGAAGCATAAAATTTGGTTTTAATGTGAAAGGTAGAGAGAGAACTTCAGAAAATGAGTTCTCAGAATTTAAAGAGATGAGTTCGTAGTCATGCTTCCACAGACAAACAAACACACACAATGCAGACAAGAATTCTGTTTACCTCAAATATTGATTCCCCACCTCTAATAAAACTAAAACCAAAGCATATCATTAATGTGGATTTTGTTGCACATGAAAATCAGCCATTTGTTAAGATTCTATAATGTGGAAATTTACAGTTAACTTGTATCTAAGAAGAGTTCAAGATGAAACCTTAATGCCATGTCTCCTATGGGTATCCAGGCTTGAAAAAAGGATGACAGCACTAAATTCTAGTGGTTGTGGGGGGAAAGTGTTAACTTTGGGACTAAAAGCCTCCAAGAGCTCTATTTTCTTAATTCTGTTTTGTGGACTGGAAGGCACAGCCACTGCTAAAGAATGGCTATCTATTACCTGTCTTGAGATCTTTTTAACCTCTTGCGTTGAACATGCTCTGGGGTATGATTTGCCACAGTGTAATGTTGCTGATAAAAGCTGAAGGTGGTATAAAAAGGTTTACGTATGACTTGAAGGAAGACACTCTCCTGTTCTTGTAACTCTATTACAGATTCTCTTAGAAGGTATTCCATTCAAATAAGATATGGTCCAGCTTCTTGTATATTTTTGTACAGCTAAGTGCTCCACAGCTTATCATTTGATAGTTACTAAAATCATAAGATTAAATTCCCCATGAGAATTCTCCAAATTATGATGCTTCATAGCAATCCTTTCTAACTTAAATTGCACTGATAATCACAGTTTTACCATCCACTTATCACTATTCCAATAATACTTTTGCCCCGAAGATCAAAGCCAAGCCATAAGCAAACTGTAGTTGCATGTCATACTTCCGCCACCTCTCATGGAAGTGAGAAAAGAATTACATTAAACAAAGTGCACAGAGTATGTCCATATTCTACTACTGGAGGGAAAAGCTTCAGATTCCACATTGGTCAGAGCTTACACCATGGAAATCTTAATTAATAAAAGAATGTAGCTTTTACACACACAAGCACACAGTTCTATGTATACTTTGAATTCCTGTATATTTCACCTTTATTGCTTTAAAAAAAATAAGGCCATTTCTGGTCTACTGTGTTGTTCCTCTTGTTTTGCTCTCTATAGTAAAGAGGTGCATATTTTAGGAATGTATAAGGCATTTAGTAAGGTGAAGAGCGTATCCTTGATTCTGGATTTGTCAAACAGATGTTCCTTCCTTGGCATTGTCTTCATTTTCTCCCTAAAGAAGAATAAAAAGTATGTTACTTAACCTAGACAGTCTCAGTTTACAAGAGACACCTTTCTAGAAACTCATAAAAACATGTTTTACTAACTTTGTTACAGTTCCCAAGCACAGCGAGCATATGTGGAGGGTCTGGTAACTGTGTGACAGGTGAGGCTGCAACCTCATTACCATTAGGAAGTAACTGAGGCCAAATATTTGAGATTAAATTAAATAAAGGTCATGGGCAGGAATATTTATGGTAGCTTATTTCCCTGCAACTACCAGCAAGATTCTGTAAGATTTTGGAAGTAGTGGTAAGAACAAGCTGCACTGAATCACACTGATTGAAGCCCTTTTCTAGAACAGAGTGTGTGCATCTGCTTGTACAGACAAACTGGGAGTTACAGTTTGAAACACAGAGAGGTCCATTTGTCATTTTGTGAATATCTTCCTTCGTCTATAGATAGGAAAGAGGTACAAGGCACGATCAAAATTAAGAACACTGATCTAGGGATGATAGGATATAGTGTCACTTATATGATTTACAGTGGACCCTCTACTTACGGAATTAATCTGTATTGGAACGGTGGCTGCAGGTCGAAAATTCTGTAGGTTGAGTCTCCATTGACCTACAATGCACTGAAATTCGATTAATCCGTAACCGGACGTTTTTGTTCCATTTTTATTCCATTTTAAATTTTTTCTGGTCTGTATGCAGACAAACTGGGAGTTACAGTTTGAAACAGAGAGATCTGTTTGTCATTTTGTGAATATCTTCCTTCGTCTATAGATAGGAAAGAGGTACAAGGCACGATCAAAATTAAGAACACTGATCTAGGGATGATAGGATATAGTGTCGCTTATATGATTTACAGGTAGAGAAGGGCATGAGGCTTGGTTCCGACGTTCGTGCCGGTTCGTATGCCAACGACCCACTCACCAGCCAGCGCTTGCTCCTTGCTTGGTTCCGACGTTCGTGCCGGTTCGTAGGCATGGCACCACAGGTGGTGTGTGTTCCTTTCTTTTCCCTTCCCTCCCCAGCCAATGACCCACTCACCAGCCAGCGCTTGCTCTTCTCCTCCTCCTCTTCAGCTGTTTGACCAGTCCTCAGCAGGAGCATGGCTTTGCCTGTCCTGCCTCCTTGTCTGAGTGGGCGATCAGCCAAGGAGGCAGGGCAGGGAAGCCTGTGCTCCTGCCAGAGACTGGTCAAACAGCCAAAGAAGAGGAGGAGAGGAGCATGCACTGGCTGGTATTGGGGGCGAGTGGGGTCCAGCAGGGGAAGCGAACATTCAGCAGCTGTGGTGCTGCGCGTACAAACTGGCACAAACCTCTGAACCGAGGTTAGTGCTCATCTCTATTTATAGGCCCAAAATATATGTGAGTACATGTCTAGTTTTCTCTCTCTCATTCCACCCCCCCATACATTAAGTACTGTATTTTCTTACTATACTCAAAGCAGTCAGACACAATCATTAAGGAGTTAAACAAGATAAACTTTAAATAGTGAAAGGACACCAAATAGTCTTTGTTTTTTTCATGAAAGAAATATGAAAGCTTGATAAATCAGTTGGTGTAGTGCTTGTAGTCATGTTAGTTCACTCAACGCATCAATGTGACAGTACCATTATTAGGACCAACCAAAAAGCTCTGTATGACTTCTTTTCAGTTTGGATATTATATTGAACAAGAATAGCAAAACTGGGGTGGTTCATAGATAAGCCCATATGGATCATGATTTCAGAAGTCTGGAAACTGCGTGGTCTGAAGTGTCCTTCCTTCCACCCCCAATGGCTCATGAGGGGAGCATGAAATCAAATTTTTTTGTGGGAAGAAGTCCATGTTCTAAACTTCTTCTCAACCCCAAAATTATACCTGGGCACTGCTTCTAAGATCCCAGGAGATCAAACAAGCTAGTTTTTGAACAATGTGGCTTTTGAATTCAGATTACAAAGATGGCCAATTCAAATATAGTTGTTTATTTTGGATAATCTTCTGGATAACTCTTGTAAAAACGATGAGGCTGCCACCAAAACAGATTAGAACAGTATTTCCTCTTGTGTTTAGTTTTATCCTCTGAGATCTTCAGTAGCAGAAACTGCTTTCTGTTCTAACAGGAGTCAATGCCATCTTAACGGCGCCAGGCCACTCCTCCCTTGTTACAGTAAACAGGGAAAGAAATTAGAATCAGGTACCCTTTCCTGAAGCTGTTCTTGTAACTTTGTCACTGTTTCTCTTTCCTTAGCCAGCTGCTCTTGGGTCACCTTTAAAAGCTCTTTTAATTTGGTAGCCGCACATCCCAAGTCCTTTGTTAACTTTTTCTCCTTGTCTAGTGTTTTCTGCAATTGGCAATAAAAGCAAGCTTTATTCTCAGGGTAACAAATATTTTTGAGAATACAGAGTGTGAGTGTTCCAGTTAGGAATTCAACAAAATAATGCACCTTAGAAGTTATTACCTGGAGTTGAAGAACATCCTCGTTTGCAGAGGAAGATGTACTTCCGGCAAGTCTTAGCTTCCCTAGTTCAGACTGCAAGTTGTTCACCAGATCCTTTGCCTGCAATTTCAAAACATTGAAAAGTGAGTTGCAATCAGCCACAATCTTGAAAAGAAGAAGTCATCAGGCTTTTAAAAAATATATACATTTCAAGAAGAAATTGCCGGAATGGCACTGCCAAAAGATCTAGGATGGCAGATTAAATAAAGGCAGGAAAAGTTAAATTTAACTATTTTAAGCATATTAATGATGCAAATAAAAAGGGGGTTGAATCTGCCAACTATCTTACTTTTTCCACTCTGAAAATTTCTAGCCCATAAAGGTTTCCAGTTTAAGTTACAGACAAAAGCTTAGGATGGTGAAAAAGCACTGAATGTTAATTGAAATCTGTCATTTATGTAGTGAGACCACAACACAGAGATGGAGCAATTTGTTCTTGTTTCTCTACAGTGCAAAAATAATTTGCTGGATATTTATCACTAGTCATGCCATTGTGTTAAGCTGGAAGAAAAAGGTCCCAATCAGAAGTACATTGGGAGAGGCACTCCTCGTTACAGACTCACCCTGTTCTCTTGAAAGCACCGGTCATTTCCTAAAATAGCAGTTTTAAGCCTTTAGATTATTTGACTGCACTTCCCCTTGGCATGCTTCCAAGGAAAAGGCTCCTAGTTATACAAAACCACAGCTTTTTGAATGTGTACGTTTTGCTGCATTTTACTCATGCTGTGGGAAGAGACAATCTGGTGGGCAGTATTTTCCTCTTCTCTTTCTCCCCACTCAATCATCACCATGAATCTTGCAAGTTCAGAACCCATTAGCTCTAAATGTGGCATATATGTAGGATGTACACTATATATTTCTTTTGTCACAGTGTAAATGCTTTTACAATTGTTCATACACACTGAACTGGATTTGCCATTTTAATGTCTATTCCAACTGGGTAAATTATTTTGGAGTTTGTCCTAATGTGATTTTATAAAAAGCCATGGTGAGTAATTTGATCTTGTTAGCAAATGTGGCCATCTGACTGTTCACTCCTCACTCCTATTTATTTCTGAACAAGTTTAAAAACATTGCTTTATAGCACAGAAAAAAACAGAATCATAAAATTTATCAGTACCAATAAGAACATTTTCCCCTGGAAAAGATCAACGGTACCGAAACAAGAAGATCTTATTGAAAAGATACGGGAAATAGCCGAAATGGACATTTTATCAGAAGTTATGAAGGACTATCCCTTGCAAAAGGCAACAGAAAGATGGGATCTATTTAACAAGTGGACAGAATCAACAGGCAGCTTGTGAACAGTGCATATTGAAAGGAGAACTGAATCTAGAAGGCAGAAAATAATGTGATTTTATAAAAAGCCATGGTGAGTAATTTGATCTTGTTAGCAAATGTGGCCATCTGACTGTTCACTCCTCACTCCTATTTATTTCTGAACAAGTTTAAAAACATCGCTTTATAGCACAGAAAAAAACAGAACCATAAAATTTATAAGTACAGTACCAATAAGAACATTCTCCCTGTTAGTAATGGGGTAAAATACATTTTTCCTGCAGGGATGCTGAAGTATTATCCATAACTATGGGCATATATTTTAAAGCCCATCCTCGAAATAGGAAAAATGATAAAAACAACTGCAATCTCCAGGATGTGGAAACGTGCTATTTATTACACAGTTTCCTGGATTTGTGTAGAACTGCACAACATGTCAAGATCTCACTGTATACCCTTTTTCTAAAAACTTATCACACTAAGATTCCTAAAAATCAATAAGCATGTCAAAAACCACAACAGAAAAGCAGAGTATAAGACTTTATTACTCTATATGTGAGGAGACTTGTTAATTCTTCAAAAGATCTGCTTAGGTCATCAAGCCCAGTGAGTAGCACAGTCCGTTCTGTTCAATGTAGAAGTCTATTCAATCCTTCAAAAAAATCTCTGGTTTCTGAATGTGGGATATTGCCCTTCTGTATCCACAATTCAAAAAGCCAGGAAATGGCCCAATATTGCTGAACAATGTTGTGCCTGCATTGCCAGCAGAAAAAGGATGCCAAGCTTCACATAGCAAAGGGCAGCCTGAATGCTGACAACATCAATGGCAGCAATCAAGATAGTCTACAACCTAGATTCTTAACCTGTGGTCCAAAGACACCCAGGGGTCTGCAAAGAAAGAACTGTCATGATCTTTTGCAGTTAAAGTAGAAAGAAAGAAAGAATACATGAAACAAAAGGAAACATAGAACAAAACTTTAATTTCCCTTGCTTGTTTGTGTAAAACCTGGCTTTTCCAACCAACCGCCTCCAGTAAAAACAATCAAAAGTAAAAAACTGGTTATGAAAATAACTGTTTGACAGCAAGTAACTGATGTTTCTGCACATGGTGAGAACATACAAATGAATGATGCTGAGTGGATGGGAGACAGCACGTGACATTTCTTGCCACTGCGCAGACAGTCAGAAGGTATGGAAAGAGAGAGTCAGAGTCAGTCAATGTTCAGACGGACTTTGTGATAATGTTTCTTCTTCAATTTCTGCTAGTAAAATGGCTTGGCTATTGTCTGCAATATTATCTCAGTGAATTTTGTAACAATTCATTTTGGCTGAGGCTCAGAATGGATTGCTGGCTGAATCTGAAACGTAAAAGAACTGATTATGTTGATGAGGGTGCCTCCTGTTCAAAGCAAAATGAAGCTCCTTCCAGTCATCTTAAAAAAGGAATATCTGTTGATTGGCTTCACGTGTACAGGTCCTGAAGATAATCAACTATCACAGTGTGTGTTGTGTTATGAGACGAGGCCATGAAACTGTCAAAACTGAGAAGACATCTATATCAATATCAATACTAAACATAAAGAATATACCCACAAAGAGCATCAATTTTTTTCCAAAGTAAGAAGCATGAACTTTGGGAAGGTAAGAAGACTGCAATATATAACAATGGATATAACAATGAACATGCAGTGAGGGTTTCTTTGAAGTTTCGCAACTAATAGCAAAACCTAAACTTTATTGTTTTAAATCTTGAGTTAAATCACGGTGGTCTGTGGCAACAAAAGATATTCAAAAAGGGTCTGTGGTAAAGAAAAGGAACTGCTTGTCTACAGGATATCCTCTTATGCTCACGTCACTGCCATTCACAAAGTGACACTAAGCAAGGGAAAATCCCAGAAGGTGACTCCTTTTTAAATCAGCCAACCGCTTCTCATCCAAACATATAGAAAAGGAACTGCTTGTCTACAGGATATCCTCTTATGCTCACGTCACTGCCATTCACAAAGTGACACTAAGCAAGGGAAAATCCCAGAACGTGAAACAACTGTAAATTGTAGTGACCAGAAATGGGTATCCTGTAGACCATCTTGATTGCTGCTATTGGTGTTGTCAACATTCAGGCTCTCCTTTGCTATGTAAAGTCTGGCATCCTTTTTCCTGCTGGCAATACGGTCACAATATTATGTAGAAGCTGTAGACCATCTTGATTGCTGCTATTGGTGTTGTCAACATTCAGGCTCTCCTTTGCTATGTCTGGCATCCTTTTTCCTGCTGGCAATACGGTCACAATATTATGTAGCAAATATTGGGCCATTTCCTGGCTTTCTGAATCGTGGGTACAGAAGCAGAATATCCCACATTCATAAACTGGAGGTTTTTTGAAGAATTGAATTTTCTTTTCGCATTGCTACTTATGGGAGAAGGGCAATAGACTCACATTGCACTTATTTCAAATGTGTAGTAGTGACAGGGGTGTTTTGAAATAAAAAAGAACATTTGGGGACAGAGTAGCTTTCAGCAACCTACATTATCATATTAACAGTTACAGTGAGTGCTTCCGAAGTGCTGTGGCAGTCTAATCTACTTACTGCTAGCTACCTTATTTAAATGTTTGTGCTATAGTTACTGATTTGAAGTGCAGGAATGTTGTATTTTGGTTATTAATTCAAATGACAATCCAATATGCATTTGTCTGGGCGTAAGGTCCATTTCACCCAGTATGATTTACTTCTGTGTACAAATGTGTGACATTGCACTGCTTATCTTTCCTTTAGAGACTGAATTGAATTTGCTGCATAAATTTTCCTATTATTTTGTTTTCCAGTTTTATGACATTCAACTATGTTGTTAGCTCTTGGGGCCTTCTTTTTGGAAAGAAAAATAGATTCAAACATAAACTGTAATGAAAGCCAGCTAAATCACATCATTGTTGTGTGTGTATTTTTAAAAGAGATAATTGTTTACATACGTATTGTTTATTTCTGGAATTTTCCACTTAGCAATTTTGGGCTGTGGTAAACCACGGATAATTAAAATCACAGCAACCAAATCCACAGATAAGGAGGTTCTACTGTAGACTGGTTCACTTCTTTGTCAGTTTTACTAGCAACAAGATCCTGTGGGCACTATTTCTGTGATTACAAAAATCACTGGTAGACATACTCGTATGCTTTCAAGTTCAACCCATTGAGTTGGGTACCCAGAAATGTTTTGTCCAGAGCTGTCATAATTATTTTTGTTAATGCTCATTGAGAGGAACTAGAAATTGCTCCATGTCTTTGCAACCGAGCAACTGACCTCTGGGCCAACTACTTCTCATTCTGGCCTAGTCCTCGCTGAAATGGTCAAGTTACATGTGGGATACACCACTTCCGCCAGGAGCTCACAGGGCTGAGTACATTTTTATTCAAAAACATTCCTTTCATCTGAAAGATTAAATGTCTGATAGAAGAATTCAAGCTTAGCTATCTGGAGGTGCTTGGTTTTGTTATTTATGCGGAGCCCTCATGAAGTGACTCACTCTCCCTGTGAAAACTAGATCTAGGCTTCTTTAGAGGACAGTGAAGACCGCTCCTGATCTTGTTTGCAAGTGGTGAAGTTAGAGTTCACTATGAATAGTTTTATGAACAGTCTATAAATGTTATATATTTTTTTACTGAAAAAAACACCTCAGAAACAATCAATTAAGATGTAAATGTTTACCTGCACAAGTTCCTGGCTTTGCTTTAGTGCTTCTTTTTTTGTTGCCTCCAGGTTGTTTTGGGATTCAGATAGCAGCTCTCTCAACTAAACAACATCAACAATACATAAGATGGATATACAGCCACACTTATTTGGAGATCAAAATCGTAACACTTTGTTAGCTTTGGACAAATATCTGGCACCCAGTTTTATTATGAACTAGAGCCAGCAGTTGTCATGTCTGTAAACTGACTGTCAATATTTTAAGAAACATTATAAAATATTGCAAGAATCTAGTTTTGTAACTGGCAGCTTTACCCTAAAAAATACATGTTTTATAGGATAGCTTGAGCTCCCAAGTCTTGCACAATTGAGAGAGAAACGTAGTCACACAGCAGAGGGTCTCCTACTCTTCTTCCTGCCTACTTGCTATAACAGCTGCATAACCAGACAGGAACACAAGTATCCATCACTGGAAAAGTTACCGCAGGTGTCAGAATATCAGACTAGGAGCAGAGTATGGAATGAGAGAGACTCCCACTTAGCCATGAAACTCTCTAGATGACATGAAGACAGTTCTTCTCTCTCAGCTTGCTTTGCCGTACCTCAGGTGCCTAACATGGGGCTTATGCACCCTTGAATGTGAACGTTGTTGTGAAAGGTCCACGGAGAGCACTAGATTGGTATGACCCCATTCTCAGCCTGACCTTGCTTCATGATTAGGAATTGGTGTGCCTGTATGACTGTTAGAAGACCCTTTCAACCAAGGTCAACTCCAGGGGAAGAGTCTAGTCAGAATGAGGGAAGAGACCAAAATGTAGATAACGAAGAAGTGTTCCCAGCTACAACTGCTGTAACAAGAAAAGATGCAAATGACAGCATGGTCATAAGCTTCAAGTCTTCTTCCAGTCCTTTGCTAAATTAGCAGATTCCCTTTTTTAAAAAATTATTTAACTTCTATGCCGCCCACACTATCCAAAGGTCTCTGGGCAACTTACAACAATTAAGCTTATCAGTTGGTCCTTGACCTTATCAGTTGGTGCAGCTCATAGAGGAGAGGGAGGGAAGTGTAGACAGAAGCCAATGGCATTGTGAAATTGGTTGGATTTAGCATAATGGGAGAATATGCAGAGTGGTTGTGGGCCAGAGAAGATGTGGAGGAGAAGATAGAAAAATAAAGCCATTTACCATACAATTGACAAATTAGCTTAAATCTGTAATGTAGTTATGTAAATCATGTAACTTTCAGAGGTGAATTGGTATAAGTTAAGAAATCTCTATAGACTCTATGGGAGCCACACAACTTAGTATGCAACAAACAAACAATGTATGCTGTGATATCTTTTAGATGTCATTTGCACTTAAATGTTATACTGCTTGCATAATTGTGCAACAGGATTTCAACCTGTCTATCAATAATAATAAGATAGGTGGTTTTATTTCTTGATTTATAAAAGGTTGGGTCTCTAAGATCCATAATTGGATTAAATTAGCATGGGGATTTGAGTTGCAACTTGATCTTTTTAACAAGGAGCAGTCAAAGATTTGGTTCTCCCTAGTCTTAAGAACAAAATCAGCAGCACTCAAAGAGAACACATTGAAGACACTCCACAGATGATATATTTGCCCTACAAACCCATCTATCTTAGATTTATGGGGGATACCCTCACTTTGCTGGAGAGAGTGTGGGGAGAAAGGGACTCTACTGTACATGGAGTGGACTGTTCCCAAGTAATGTCTTGGAACACTATAACACTGTACATGGAGTGGACTGTTCCCAAGTACTGTAATGTCTTGGAACACTATAATAGACTTAATTTCTAATAAACCCAACCAAAGCATCAAGAAATGCAATGCTTTTTTTTACTGCTGCCTGCCTTTACTGAGGATTACTAATATTTTCTGGACAAGGATCTTATCCCTGTGCTTCGTACATCAGCAAGACAGGAATTATCAATCCTGGAAATCCCTAGATGGATTTGTAATTTGCAGAGTGTGGTGAACTAGCATTATGAACTATCATACAAACTCAGAAGACGAAAAGGATTTGAACAATCAGATAAATGTATGATCATTTTGATCCCTTTTATCCAATCTATTACCGATATTGCTTCACTGTGCAGACTACCAGCCATGCATTTGGATATTTGGAGAGATGCTTTTTGAATTAGAGTAACAATGTGAAAAGTGATTTTCATCTTTTTGACATGCTGCCACTTTTTACTTCCCTTTTGTGCATTTTGAATGTTTTTTTTAAAGTCAAGCTGTTTGTGTAATTGCGCAACAAGATTTCAGCCTATGTGTCTTTGAGGACTCTTAGGCTAAAATTATGTGTAGTAGTGGTGGCACCTATGCAATGGGGAGATGTATCAAAGCAAATTATTCTGGCCTCTTTTGGCTCTCGTTCCATCCATATTTTGGGTCTGGCCCAGCCCAATGGTGGAATACAAACCCCAACACTTTGCTACAACCTTTATGTTGAAAAGACCCACACTCTGTCATATCCATCAGGACAAGACAATGTAGAAAAGTTATAACCAATAGCTCATCCAAGGGTTTAGAGAAGGACAGACAGAGTACTCTACCTAAGCCTCTGAGTTTTGTATAGTGTTCCAAATTCTCCCCCTCATGCTCTACTTGTTTCAGATGAGACGAAACACTTACATGTTCAACTTCTTTTGTGTAATTTTGATGTTCAGAATCTGAAGTTGCCAAATGATTTTCCAACTGTGCTTCCAAAAGAGAAGTGTACTCTTTTAACTGTTCAAGAAGGGAAAAAAATGCAAGTCATTCAGAAGATATTTTCCTCATATTTGCAAGCTAGAAAGATTTATTTTGACTGGTAGAGATACATCCCTGGCTACCATGGAAAATCCTCCTTGTTCTTAATACAATGGGACCAGGTTGGAATTCCTATAATCCAGCCATGTTTCCAATGTCCTTTGTGTTAGTGGATTTCATGTCCTACATCCCAAGGAAGAGCATTAAAATACTTAGACTTAATTCTTCTTCCTTTTGATACACTGTTTCAGGAACTACATCTGAAACATTTTTTGGAACTTTTCTATTACCAAATCAGATATATTTTGCAGTTTTGAATAGTAACACTGAGTACAAGGTCTCTAAACCCTTTGGTGCTGGACCATTACTGCTCTAATCCCAATCCGGCAAAAAAGGTTCAGCTACTTTGGGACAGTCTCACAGTTCAGTGGTAGAGCATATGATCTGCATGTTGGTCCCATGGATAGTCCTTGGCATTTCTAGTAGAAAGGGTGAGACAGCAAACAATGGGGTTTCCATCTGAGATCCTGGAGAGCTGCTGCCCATTAGAGCACAAAGCAGTAGTCTAAAATCATTTCAAGACCACTTCCCGCTTAGCTGATGTCTCCAATTCTCCCTTCCAGAGTCATGAAATGTTCCCATACCTTCTCTGTTTTCTGTAGTTCCATCTTGAACTTCTCCACATCATCCTGAAGACATTTCATTTCATCTTGAGACTAAAGCACAAGTCATGAGACCCAGAAAGAAAGAAATTAGAGAATTAGTGTGTAGCATTTACAGGATCCATTTTTAAAGAAAGTACTAGAGCAGTTTACAAAAACCATCTAAAATAGAAATGGGCCTTTTGTGTTTAAACAAAAGGCCAAAAACATAGAAGAGGCTTCCTTTTATGTAATTTGTGTCCTTTCTGTGATTGCCGAGAGAGGCTCTTGAACATACATAATTTGCATTGATGAAAGAGTAGCATGTGAAAGTCTGTTTGTTTGGTTTTTTGTTTGTTTGTTTGTTTGATTGATTTATAGGCCGTCTTTCTCCCAATAAGGGGAACCAAGGCAACTCACAATATTAAAATAGAATTAAAAACATAATACGTTAAACATTAAAAAAACAATTAAACTATACACTAATTAAGGTACAATGGAATAATTAAAAGCAAGTAAATATTAAAAATTATCCTAACGTAAAGAGGACACAATCATGTTTGTTAAAATCCTGCCTGAAAATATGGTTCTTCACCTGTTGGCGGAAGGATAAAAGGGAGAGGCCCAACCTGATCTCCTGAGGGAGAGTGTCCCATAACCTGGGAGCTGTCACAGAGAAGGCCCTCTCTTGTGTCCCCATCAACCGTGCCTGTGCTGGCAATGCGACCAAGAGAAGGGCCTCCTCGGATGATCTTAAACACCAACAAGGCACATATGGGGAGATACTGGTCCTTCAGATAGTCTGGACCCAAGCTGTATGGCGCTTAATAAATAATGACCAGCATTTTGAATTGGGCCCAGAAATGGACTGGTAGCCAGTGCAGTTATTGTAGCAGGGTGTTATGTGCTCCCTATAACTGGACCCAGTCAGTAGTTGCTGCCTTTTGAACCAGCTGAAGTTTCTGAACTATCTTCAAAGGCAGCCCCACAAAGAGGTTGTTACAGTAATTCAAGTGGGTGTAACCAAGGCATGCATCACTGTAACCAAATCAGATATCTCAAGGAATGGGCACAGCTGGCGCACCAGTTTTAATTGTGCAAAATCAATTCTGGCCACTGCCAAAACCTGGCCATCAGTCTCAGAGAGGAATCCAGGAGTTCCTTCTGGCCACTGCCAAAACCTGGCCATCAGGCTCAGAGAGGAATTTCCCTCAAGGTGTGAGCCTGAGTTTTCAGAGGGAGTGTAACCCCATCCAGCACAGATTGTATCCCTGTCCTCATCTGCCTTCTGATTGACCAGGAGCACCTCTGTCTTGTCTGGATTTGTTTGCCCTCATCCAGCCCATTACTGGTATCAGGCACTGGTTTAGAAACAAGATTCCTTCCTTGGAACTAGATCCCCACAGCTGCTTTGTGCACGTGCCAGCACTGGCGTGAGCACTTCCCCATCCCTTCACACATTGTCTGAGTGCCCGTGTGAAGGGGTGGGCATGCGCAAGAGGGTGGGGGAGCACTTACGTCAGCACTGGTGGGTGCTCCCCCACCGCTTTGCCCATGTGCCCGAGAGTGCGCATGCACCGACGCCCCCCCCGCCTTCTCGGAGGCTCAGCCTGTCCGCAGTCCCAAAAAGGTTGAGGACCGCTGATCTATGCCATTAAGGAGGATACCAGAAGATGGTTAACACATTGGCCAAGCCTATGTCCATCTGGTCCTATCTTCTAAAGCAGAAAATATAGAAATTAACCATAGATTGGGCTGGAAGAGACAGAGCTCATTCTTGTCCTCATTACTGGAATGTGCATTCGTGTAATGGAGGTGGAAGTAAGTATTATAAAAGTGTGTATTCCTTCTGCATTAAGCTATTCATGCTTCCAGCACTGCCTATCACATGCAGTATGGCCTCTTGCATTGTCTGCAGCTGCACTGAATTTCCACGTGAGCTTGATGGCCTCTACTTCCCTGGCAGGCATTGGGAGGGAGGAATACCAAGTCCAAGGGTGTGTGCTGTACTCATGACACCAAGGAGGAGCAATGTAAGAGATAACAGGTAATGGCCTACTAAGCAACTGCCCATTTGCCTCACACCTAGATGTCAAGGAGAGTCCACATGACAGGCAAAGGCTTCAGAGGACCCAGTAAACCCAGACGCCCTGAGGCTTCATCATGTGCATCCTAGTGAGGATGTGATAACTGGTGAGAAGTAGATCTGACAAATTCTGGCTCTATGCCACCGTGGACCATGTAAGCTATAGCCAGTAAAATGCTGCACCTTGTTTAAACATCCCCTGTTCTGACATTCCCCATCTTTGGTGCTGTGGATGCAAGTATCAATCAGCTTATCAGAGCACAAAGATGGTAAGAAGAAGTGTTTATACACTCTTTCAGCAACTACCTTCTTAAGCGCTTCTTCTGATGCCGACAGCTTTGCTTCCCATACCAGTTCCTCCTTCTCCACACTCTTCTGCAAGTCCTTGAGCATCCCTTCCTATAGGTTTGAGACAACAACAAAACATGAGGGGAAAGGGCAGGAAAAGAAGAAATGTTGGACTTACCTGGACATGTTATCTCCAGTCACGTCTGAGTGGGTGACTCCGTCCACTAATTCTCACCCACAACCCATACAAATTAGGCTGGCTTACCTCTTTCAATTAGGAGAAAACACTACCTAGATTTGGAGCTTTGAAAACCTTGGAATATGAGTCTATAGAATACAAAATAACTGACTATCACTAGCCGCCTAGAGTGGTCAAAATGACTAGTTAGGCGGGGTATAAATACAATAAATAAATAAAAATAAAAATAAATAGTAGGGCAGGAAAAGAAGAAATGTTGGACTTATCTGGACATGTTATCTCCAGTCACGTCTGAATGGGTGACTCCTTCCACTAATTCTCATCGACAACCCATACAAATTAGGCTGGCGTACCTCTCTGAATTAGGAGAAAACACTACCTATATTTGGAGCTTGGAAAACTACCACTAGTTGCTAGGAAAACGTGGTCTGCAAAAGAAAAGATAATGCTCAGATCTTGGGTCGGAGACCGCAAATAAAGATTGACATTGACTACCACTAGTTGCTAGGAAAAAGTGGACTGCAAAAGAAAAGATAATGTTCAGATATTGAACTATTCTGGCTCAACACCATGGAAGACAAAGGCTCTCTATCTTCTTCGCCATTGCTTGGGTGAGTGGGGTAGCCTCTGTCCATGGAAGAGAATGATTTTATCATGGTCCAACAATGCTTTCTTCCTGGCAGAAAGATCCCTTGACTGAGGTCTTTAAAAACCATGTCCATCCAAGGGGTAGGCTTGTCATTGAAGGAAAAGACTGATGGAGGCACTTATCTGGCAAAACACTTATCTGGCAAAGAACACTTTAATTCCAGACAGAAACAGATCTAGAAGCCAATCTGTTTGTACACAGAGGTGGGGGTGCTGCACCTGGAATGCATGACAGTGCCCACGGGAGACCTGGGTGATAAAAACTCACAGATCAAAAACAACTCTAATGCACTCCACCATGGCTAAGAGACTTGGAGATCTTTGATTCAGCTCATCAGCACTGAATGAAACAAAAGGACAATCTCATTTGCCAGGATGGGCAGGAAATGGCAAGACTCTACATAAAGCACTGAAGTTCTGTAAACATCCTAGCAATACCAGGCTCTGTCCTCTGAGTGATATTTTGGAACACATTTCCAATGTAAATATTTTCAATGTACGTTATACTGACTAAAGTGTTTTCATGTGCATTTTTCATTGTCATAAACATTTTTAAAATGTGGATATCGGTACACGTAAACTTTTATTTCCTGAAGTGTTGGAAATGTACATTTCTGAGGCAATTTGCATTTTGTTGCATGAACAGCCTTAGGAAGTGTGAAATGTGTATTGCTACACAGAATGATGAAACCAATATTTTCCATTTCTAATTATAAACTGCTGAGGACATTTCCTGTGCCCACAGATACGCAGCCTTCACAAAAATGGGACTGATTATTGAAGTCTCAGGGAAGTTCCTGCACTCCCATGAAGCAGCATTTACATGGACTTAGTGCAAGGGACTTGGCCTTCCAAGAGAATGCCTACCAACCGAGAAAACATTCCACAGTTTCACCTGGGCTGAAATCCCCGCTCAGCCATGAAATTCACTGAATAATCTTGGGCCAGTCGTACTCTCCCAAGCTTACCTACCACACAGGATTGCTACTATGAGGATGAAGTGGGAAAGGGGTAAGCCACGTACACGGTCTTGAACTCACTAAAAGAAAGGCAGGGTGGAAATGTAATAAATAAATAGATGACGTAACCAACCACAAATTCTTTTCCTGTTCCGTTTCTTTCCTGTGTTTATTTTAAATTGAACGCCTTTCAACTTCCAACCTCTGGCTTTGCAGATAGATGTTCAAATCCCTGAGCTACTCAGCCGGCTACTATATACCTCAGACAAAAATGCATTTTGAAAGAGCATTTTTGGCAAAAACTGCGAGGGACACAGAAGGAGCTTCCCTAAAGAACATAAAAGACTTTGAATACATTCAGGTGACCCCTTGGCAGCAACAGAACTTGGTGGCTGATTCTTCATCTCTGAAAGGAATACTTCTAACACAAATGAAGGATGAAGGAGGAAAAGAAGAAGGAGAAAAAGAAGAAGGGCAAGAACATGTGATACAGCTACGGGGTGGGTGGGTAAATCTTATTCTGGACAATCTTCTATTTCTGCTACATCAAGTATTTCTCAAAAGGCCCAATACAAATGGAGAAACTGGCTGACAAAACCCAACCCCAAGAAAGTCTATAGTATCTTTTCCTTTTTTTACAGAAACTGTACAAATGTTGGAAGACACTCATCACATTCTAAACTCCTATACATAAGCCATGTCCTGCATCTCCTAACTCAAAATCAGCCTAGGCAAACTCAAATTTATCTCTCTGACACCACCAAATTTCAGATCAATCCACTGAGCTATTTGCTAAATATAAACCACAGCACCTGCTGCCCCACCCCTTTTTTGGTTGTAGAAGTGAAATATGGTCTACTGGAGAACAAGCCTAATTCAAAAGCTCCTTTGTGTGCCTGAAAGCCCCCCTGCATTCAAAAGCCTCTGTGATGTGTGTGTACATACATCTGCATGGTCCTCTCAATGTACATTAGTGGACGAAGAGACCTCCCCGTGAGGTGCTGATCTTTAGTTACATCAATGGGGAAGCTACACAGGAGGGAATTCTATCCAACGGCACACGTAACACCGAGGATTGGAACCAATGTATTTGATGTGTTAGATATATCTGGTTTCACTTACCGTCTGTGCAAGAATGGTTCTATACTGATCACATTCTGCTTGTAGTGTGCTCAGTGACTCATTAGCTTCTTTCAAAGAAACTGCCGTGCCCTAAAAGCAAATTTCACACACTTTTAGAAGAATCTCTGTGCCACAAAATCATTAGCAGAGTTGACAGAAGCCTCAAAGGTCAGCAAACCCATCCCCTATATGTACCACAGATGACAATGTGGCTAAATGAGAGTGCAGGTAAAATACACTTGCAAGGGAATACACATTCTAGAGGGTAAGCACGTGCCCAATGCCCAGACAATCTAGTTGGGGAATGGATTAGCCAAAACGGGCCTCAAATATGGCGATCGAGTCATATTGTATTGATGAAATTAAAGGGAGGGAAAGAAACAGAAGGAGAAAAAGCAAAGGGCATAATATTGTGGCATCTTAAACGCTAATAGTTTGTTCTGATGTGAGCTTTCAAAATCCACTTCTTCAGACATATGGAGTGCTCATTCTACAAAGGGAAAGTACAAGTCCATGACTCCCAGCACTCACTTTTAATATCATCAGCCAATTAATATTTTGATCAACCCAACCCCTTTTACATTAAAAAGAGCCAGTGCTAAATTGTGAGGCCACTCATATATAAAAAAGGAACACATTCATAAATATCCACCCATCCATCCCCATGCAATTATATTGCTGAATACCATGTACACGTATGCAAGACACACATTTACAGAATCTATGCACAGAGTGAAGAATCCTGATGAGGTGGATCTGGCCCACAGGCCAGAGATTCCCTGCCACTAATTTACAGGAATACGTACACTATCTGACTTTGCAGCCTTCTCCTGCAGTGTGTCCAAAGCCTTCTCTTTAAACTGCTGCAGCCATTCATCATAATTCTGAAAGTAAACAAACAAGGTACTCAGTTTAGAAGACTATTCTATTCTCTTTAACTTAAAAAAGCTTCTACCCCAAATTTCCAGAGTTCATAAGAGCTTATAAATACCTTTTTCATAGTTGCAGCAGCTCTCAACTTTGATAGACATATCTCATCACAGGCTCCTTTTCCTCCCCCACCCAAAATCCCCATATCTGTCAGTCGACTCACAGCCAGAAGAGAAACAATTTGCTCTGTACATAGGAGTCCCTTTTTGAATGGTAGCTTCCCACCTACTTCATGCAGGAACAGCAATTTAAATGAACAAACCTTTACTTTTCTAAGGACAGGTTTGCAAACTAGGTTAATGAATTTTCACGATCTGCTTGCACCTTATTTATTTTTGAAGGGAGTTTCTAGCAGGAGATGTGGTATGAATTCAGGGATACAACTCCTTGCTTGGTGCATAACTAGAACTTTTCTGCTCCCCTGTAAGAAGATATTTCTGGCCTTCTCACTAAGGGTTCTTGCATTTATAAGAGCAATCTTTGTGCAACTTGTATAAATTGTGCAGAAATAAGGCTGCATGGATTTTTACACATCAGAGGCCCTGGATGGATTATTTGGACCTCTGACCAATCTGAAAAGCCTTTCTGTGCTTGCAATGTATGTGTGATTTGTCTCATAAATGGAAAAGACAGTCCTTTGCACTGAGACATTTTGCATAAATACAGAAATCCTGACCAGAACACCCTCCTCTCTTTGTCTCATTTGTATGATAATGACAAGGAGGCTAGTGGTACAGAAGCCTATTTTCTTAATGAGCTGTCTTGATGAGTTCCTTTTAAACTGAAACCACAAGGGCTTAATCTGGGATTTTCTACACCAGAGGTGGGCTTGTGGCCCTCCAGATGTTGTTGGATTGCAATTTCCATCAGTGGCAGTTAGCACATCTATTGGTGAGGTAGGATATGAGTCTAACAGTATCTAAACCTTGAGTTTTCAAACTTGGGTCCCCGGACGTTCTTGGACTACAGCTCCCAGAAATCCCAGCTGGCACAGCAAATGGTGAAGGCTTTTGGGAATTGCACTCCAAGAACATCTTGGGACACCAGTTTGGGAACCACTGATCTAAAGCACAAGTTGCTTGCTCCTATTGTACATGGAATAAATGAGTTCATCTTTCTTTGTACACTTTCCCCATTTGTTCCTCACACTTTTTACATCTGAAACTTCCTAAACACTATTCATTTTAGATCTACGATGACACAAAGGGTGAATGGGCCATGCAGCTTGCAGAATCCACTCTGCTTGTTAACTGTCTTCCCACGATATACCAAATCGAGCCTGGTGCAATTACATAAATACTTAGAGATTAAAGAATTCCCAGCCCAGGCATTTGTTCTGAATATCACAATTGAGTAGAATGTCTATTGTTTCCATAAAAAGATCAATTCCAAGCTTTCTTCATTTCAACAGTACAATCCACGGAGAGGAGTCATTTTGTAGCTGTTATTGTTAAACAACTGGGAGTCAGAAATCTTTACTGGTGGACTTTAAATGAGCCAGAACACATGATCAACCTGTTGCCCCTCCCCACCACCCGTACTGCAACAGCTACCTACCTCTTGATCATCTAAAAGGATCTGTGGGAAGAGAGACAACAGCACTTTCTTTGTGTGTTCTTGAATAATTCCAAACTGTTGCTCTGAAGCCTCCTGAGAAGACAAAGAGGGACGTTATGCAGATTGCAAAGTGCCTGACCCTTTTGTTTTACTTAGCAGGGATCTTAAGTCTACGATCAGTGCCCCTTGATTGCCTGTCCACTTGGAGACCTCTGCATGCTACAAACGTCAAGTGTAAAATATAAGACACATCCATGTACCTTACAGACACCACTCAGCAGATAATTGAAATTAACTACCTAGGCGTATTCCGGACCCATTCTGTTGCCAGAAAACGTCAGTTTCCCTCTCTTTTATTGCTACACTTGTTCACTAGTTTGTTATGGTTTCCATCTTGTCTAGAGCAAGGGTACACAACAAAGAAGCCTGCTTATGCCCCTGGCTGTTCTTCTGTACTCCCCCATGATTTCAGTGAAGGGAAAAAGCAGAAGGAGCAAAAAAAAACTTGCCACCCTCTGTCAACGTGGGAGAGAGCATTTGGGCGTTTTGTGTTTTTTCTTATGGAACTCTTGCATGTGCAAGAGCCAAAGCTCCAAATATCCTAAGGTAATCAGATCATCTCACTACTAAGCCTCCAAGAATCTTAATTATCAGCCTTGTTCTAAAACCTAAAGGGGGAAAAAAAATACCAAGGACAATATACTCTAGCACTTTAAAGAATAGGACATTTGAGTCACTTTACTCCATACTACTCTGTTGCTGCTTCTGGCAAAAACTATCAGGTAGACTTCAGTAACCCTTTGTTGGGCAAGGTTCTTGAGTCAGCAGCAACTGTGTAACCTCAAAGATGATCTGGACTTCTTTTCTTCTGGTTTTAGGCCTCTTTCTGGTACAGAGACTGCTATCATTACTTAGGTGGTTGGCCTGTGCTGGGAGGTTTTTCATACCACTTGATGTTCTTCCAGACAGGCTCTTTGGGTTAGAAGTTAGGAGGCATGCTGATATGGTGGTTCTGTTCTTAGCTGAAGCATCAGTTCCAGAAGAAGATGCCAGGGGATGTTACCCAAAACATCAAGGGATTATCAGAGATCTGAAATGAGGTGCCATCAGTATGTGGATGACCCCCTACCCCTGACATGTTCTTCATTGGATTCAGGTAAGGCAACTGAAATTTTGAGCTAGTGTCAGGGATCTGTAATGGGCTGGATGATGGGCAGTAAATAGAAACTCAAGCTTTGGAAGATGGAGGTCCATTTGTTCATCTCTTTAAAAAGTTCCACTTTTTCTGGATGGGGTTGCCCTTCCACTAGAACAGCAAGATCATGATCCAGAGGTACCCCTGAATCCAACTTTGGCACTGGAAGCTTAGTCTTATATGGCACAGGTATATGCTAAAACAAAGTCTTCACCTGCAAGTAGTCGCTTTAGCATCAAATGGGTTTAAAAACAGTTGGGGTTTATGTAGCACACCTATGCACTATTAGTTTTTGGTGGAAGCTCCGGAATTAGCAGCAGTATAGTGCTTCCCTATTTGTGGCTTACATGTAGAGTCACTCAGAGTCATGACCTTCTACCACCTTCTTGGTCACGGCTCTGTGACCAACCTGGGTTACAGTTACACAATGTATGAACTCTGAGACTTCTTCATTGAGATAGTAGCTTTCTTTAGGATATTCAAAGCTTACAGAATTATAAACTCAGAATTACAGGTGTATAAAAATCTATAATGCAGTTACATGGTACAAAGCACCAAGGAATTTACAGAAAATATAACCTTTGATTTAGCTGAAGAGAGCAACTTTCCTTCATAAGACTTTTCTACTGAAATCAAAGCTTCTGTTGCTTCCTGGTTCTTTTCTTGCAGGTCCTGTTGGAAATAAACAACTGAAAGAAACCAAATATTGATAGGAAGGTGCCAAAAAACTTTACCTGCAGCAAGTTATCCATCTCTCCAAGGAAATGCAGGACAAGGTTAAAAACTGCTATGAACTTAATATATCCTAAACCTAATGTAAGTTGTTAGAACAGAAATCTGCTGTTTGTTGTTCTTCCTCTTGGAACAACTGAGCACTGTTTACCTTCTTCACCCTACCCCTTCAAAGTATTTATGAAGAAGATCATCACTTTTTAAAAGCACATAATGTCAATCCCTACTATCACTGCAGGAAAACCCTACATTGTTTACCTCCTGTCCCTCAGATGGCTTTTACTGGCTTACTTTATCTTAAAGCATTTGCTTTTCTTTTTATCTTCACTGATTCCACATATGTGTGCCTTTGCAGAAGTGGGCACATGCACATGCACACGTACATAGCACTTTCAGTCTACTTCACACACTTGATGCTGTCAGTCCAATGCCAGATAGCTATGGTGCCTTACTGAAGAATATTCCTGTAATCAGTTCCTCATTCACTTTTCGTATCCTAAGATCTCTCCACTGTATTCCCTTCCAAATTCTTTCTGTATCATTCCTGTCCCTTTTTAATGCTACTTTCAAACAAGACTGCCCCCAAAATGGCTGGCACGTAGCTCCCAGCGCTCGTTTATGTTTGTCCCTCTTCTACTCTAACATGTTTTCTACTGAGCATATTTTTAAGGTTTCTCCTCCATGTTTCCCATGCTCTCTGTGGCATTTTCTTGTTCCGATAGCGTTCCAGGTAACCAATGAATCCAATTGCTTCTAAGACTGCAAAGTATAGTTTCTTTGCATATGTCGAATCTTTTCCTAAATTTTAGGGCTGCAAAGATCTACAAGGGTAGGACAGAGGTTGAGACTGAAACTCCTAATATGAGGAGAGCTGGAATTCTGCTAGCAGCAGCTCTGGCTGACATGCAGAAAGAGGGAAGAAGATAGAATCTGGTAGCTGACATGCTTTGCTCCATGTACGGAATGAATGGGAGAGAATAGGGAGTGTACTTATGAGACCTGAGGATGTCAGTGGGCATTATACTGGAAGAGGAAATCTGGCCCCCATTGAGAGATGGTCCCTGACCCCTGCTATATAACCCCTTTATCCAGAACATCTTCGTTCCACTCCAGAGAAACTCAGTGTTTTACTCTGTGATCTCCCTGGAAAGCTGTGTGTGTTGGAATCCAATTCCAGACCACATTTGACGGAACAAAATTTTGTGCATGGGCTAATCCTACAAGCCTGAACAACCTGAGGCATGGTAAATAACTACTTCCTTATGCACTTCCCATTTGCTACAACACAGTGGAATAAAACTACACTCCCAATGGAAAAAAATTGTATCAGAAGTAACTCTATTGTAGCACTCATCTCATGTTGTTCAATCATGTGTTAGTGTGTCATAGATGGTCTTTTAAAAATATGTATGTTTGAACTGAGATGTAGAACCGTTAGTCCATGAAGAAATAACTCCTGCAGGTAAGGCCCTTGAACTGACAACACTTTAGGACCATAATTTATTCCCTTCTGCATGGCCATTTGTATCCAAGAAAAGATAAGGACAGGATAAGAAGAAAGTTGAACTGTTATGTAACACATAGAGCCCTTGCAGCAGTTCGATTATTTTTAGTTTACATTTGCTTGGATGGTTACTCACATGGTTTTTTCTTTTCAACTGTTCAACTGTATCTTTCAGTTCTGCAGCTTCCTTCTCTAACGTGGAGACCTGTGCAGATGATTCCTGCAGTCTGAAGCAGAAAAAGGCTCGATGTTTCTTCCTATATATACTTCACATGATGAAAGACATTCACCCACCCAGAGCGTCGCTGCACCTAAATCTTCACTGCATCTGTGCTACTGACAAACAGGGTCCTTTGCAGTGATGTCTATGCTAAGGAAAGACTGATGACTACACACTCAACAGTCTCCAGAAGCTACTTACAAAGAACACGACAGATGGCCCCTAATCCAAGCACATGTTGGCTCTATCTATTTGGAACTGAGTATCCAGAAAAATGTTGTAAAGAACTGTCTCAACTTTCAGAAAACTACCCAAAATGTTTTGCGCTCACTACAAGTCTTCCCAACAGTGTTAACTGCATACAATCATTTTAAGAAATAATTATGCGTACATATAAAGAAGCAGCATTTGCTGTCAATATTTGTACGAAGCATGCACAATGCTTGTATGCATTCCTCATATTTCTATCCCACTGATCCTCTAATGAATCCTCTTCCTTCCGATATCATCTGTACAACAGGCCTGTCAAGTAGGCTGGATTGAGAGTATGCCTGGCCCAAGGGCACCAAGTATATTTTACAGCCAAGTGGGAATATGAACCCTAATCTACCAGCCTGTCCTGGGTCACAACAACAACATAATACAATACCAACCCAATTCTATTCTCTAATAAAAGTTTCTAGACGTTTCTGAGTTGTAGGGTCAAAGAGTAGTACTTTTACATACATTCTAACTTCAAATCATTCATTCTTATGTTCTAAGAGAAGTTTCAAAACATATCTAAAACATAAATATGTTTATGTTTGCGCTTTATTACATTGTTTACATGTACTACTAAAGGCACAGTATAGCAGAACAGAAGGGCCAAAGGCTCTCACTTTTGTACTTGACTATATCTCTGGGTCGCCTGACCCGTACCTTCTTGACTACAGCCCTCATGTTACTTAGCCACACTCCTTACACATTTCACATGAGTGTCCCTATCTTCCTCTGTGTAACATCCAGAGATACCTACAGCCCTGTTTGAAAGAAAAACTCCGCATCACAAGCATGATTGCTACAACTGGTAAAAATAAGAGCAATCACTGATGACTAGGAATCTTGATGGAGGTTTATAAATAGCACACCTGTTACATCCAAATTCAACCTAGATTCTCTAATTTTGCACGAAGTCCACAGCAAGAAAACTGTACTGTTCACCTGTATCACCTAAAACCTATTATTTTCATCTTAGAAAATCCTCCTTCAAAAATTTGAGAAACACTCCCTTCCATAACCTAGAGCTCTGTCTGGTCAATTGGAAGTACAGCTTAGATGCAGCCTGGGGGGCAAAACAAGTGGTTCCATTTCTCTAAAGGGAAAGGGAAAGGTTCCCCTTGACATTGTTAGTCCAGTCATGTCCGACTCTAGGGGGCGGTGCTCATCCCGTTTTTCAAGCCGTAGAGCCAGTGCTTGTCCGAAGACAGTTTCCATTGCCACGTGGCCAGCGTGACTAGGGAACGCCATTTTACCTTCCCACCGTGGTGGTACCTATTTATCTACTCGCATTTGCATGCTTTCGAACTGGTCAAATGTATCTTCTTCCTTTCCTTTGAGTTCCAATCCCTTCTCCATTTTTACTCTCTTAAAACTGGTCCAATTCGGGTTCTCAAAGGATTACAACACTTCAAGCTCTCACTTCCAATGCATTTTACAAAAAGCTCTGCAAGTGTGTTTGCCCTGTTTTCCCAACATGGACTTTCCTGATGTTCTGCTTCCTCAGACAGGTCTGTGATCTGGTAATTAACTCAAGAGAGGGAGAATCTCTGTTTCACCTTGATTTGCAAGATACAGAATTTTAATTTGGGTTCCATGTCCTTCTTTTTCTCTCTCTTTTTCACTAACTGGTCTATAATGAATTGTCTACTTGTGACTACATTTCCTGGCTATCTCTCAATCTTCCTAGTTCCCTACAATAACCTTATCTGGTACACACAAACACCTCTTCATTTCATTTGACCCTTGTCCCTTTGCTGTCTGTAATATATTTTACAAATAAACTTTTATCTCAATAATTTATCTTGCCATCTCATGCAGTAAAATCCTTAATTCTCCTTACATAGCCCTAGTCTGTGTTCTCCCACTAGTTCCTTGTTTGTGTGAATGTATAGGTCAAGATATAAATTTCATGTGACCCTTGAGTATGTACGTGTGCATATTTGTCTATATGCACATGAATATAGGTCAGGTATTATAATATCCTTTCCTAGATAGCAAAAGCAGCCTATCAGGGTTAAAACTCACCAGCCTTACCTTAACTGGAGCAAGCTGACATCTATTTGGCTTGATTCCTGAAAACAAGGTGATGGGGATAAGGGGGAGAGAAGCAGAAGCAGTTACATTGGTGTTTTCAAAACAGCTCCTTGTTTCCAAAACACAGGAAGCAAATCCACTATGCAATATTGTCACCCTGCCAGCATCTTCTAACAGCATGATAAGGCAACTCCCCAAAAATGATAAGCAATGTTATCAAATGAAGAGGCCAAAGGGGAAGGACATCACAGATATCTGACCTGCACGGCTTTGTTTTTTTCCTCTTCTCTCATGTGGTTTGCCTCCAGGAGGGCTTCAGTAGATTTAAGTCTTTCGGTAAGCTCTACATTTTGGGAGGTGACTTCTGACAACTTCATCTGCAAAAGATTTAGTTCCTCGCCCTTTCTTTTTACCTCCATTTCAGAGCCCTGCAATTTAGATTGGAGTTCTGTGAAGAACAGAAAAAGGATGAAATATTGGTCAGAAACACACAATTTAAGGTACACAGCCTGCTTATATCATACAATAACTGGTGATCATTTTGTATGCAAAGCTCTCCTGAATGTTAGTAATGGTGTATCAGAACAAGTACAAGACATTTTGTTGTTGGAGGCAGAGAACATGTTGGCACCCTTTCTCATTCCAAGCACAGAGTCTGACCAGACCGGTCATCATCTTGAAAAATGGACACTATATCTGAATCTGTTTATCGGGGGAGTGGGGGGGAGAGAACTGGGGTATACTTCCCACAAGTAAGATCCAGGCTGTCTCAAATCACACACCAATGTGTTTTGATTATGACAGAACAATCCTCCTGACTTTAAAGGTAATGCAAACGTGAAGAGATTTCTCTCTGTGTTTGGCCACATCTTAACCATGCAACCCAGAGTGAGACAATGGAGGGTCTAGATCAAGGGACGGAATAGCACCACTCTGTTCTGTTTTGGACAGATCTCATCTGGAATGCTGTTTCCAGATCTGGGCACCATCGTTCAAGAAGGATATTGAGAAGTTGGGTTGTGACCCAATGAGGGGGACCAACATGGTAGAAGGTCTGGAAACCAAACTCGGAGGAATAGTTGAGGGAGCTGAGTATGTTTAGCCTGGAGAAGAGAAGACTAAGAGGTGATACAATACCCATCTTCAATTGATGGCAATTGGAGATACCCTTTACCTTACAGTCTATCCTGTATACATCAAAAATTATATAATATATACAAAATAAAGCAACAAATATCAAAGATATTACAAACCAATGAACAGACCCACCCAGCAGCAAAATATGGGAGCAATTCTCTTTTAAAGTAGCTACATTTGAATGCTCTATCCATTTATTAAGACAAGATGTGTGTAAAACATATGCCTGCAACACAGAGCACATTAATTGCTCTTTAAATAGCAAATTGCAACTAAACCTGGAAGCCTTTAGTTAACCACAGACTCCCATTTCATCTGAATTGGGAAACTGTGACTGAAATCCTGTTGCTCAGTGTAGTAAGTTACACTACATTTGTTGTTGTTTAGTCATTAAGTCGTGTCCGACTCTTCATGACCCCATGGACCAGAGCACGCCAAGTCCACCCGTCTTCCATGGCCTCCCGGAGTTTGGTCAAATTCATGTTGGTAGCTTCCATGACACTGTCCAACCATCTCGTCCTCTGTCGTCCCCTTCTCCTCTTGCCTTCACACTTTCCCAACATCAGGGTCTTTTCCAGGGAGTCTTCTCTTTTCATGAGATGGCCAAAGTATTGGAGCCTCGGCTTCAGGATCTGTCCTTCCAGTGAGCACTCAGGGTTGATTTCCTTCAAAATGGAAGGAAATCCGTTTCCTACACTAGGTCCACTTAAATGGCATTGATTCAAAGTAGCTTATGCTAGTTTTGGATTACTAGGCTAAAGTAAATTGCAGCAAGAGTAGATCAATTTGAATTAATGGACCTATGGAGGAGTTGACTTACCACATTCACACTGATTCCATGGACTTACTGTAGTATAACTTACTACACTCAGCAATGGGATTTCAGCCTGTGATGAATAACTTTGGAACCAGTCAAGAATTAAGCAGTGATTTTAAGCTAATTTATTTTCTCAGCCCTTTTTAAATCTGCCTCAGATGAAAACATTCCGCATGCAAGGAAAAGGTTTGTATCTACTCAAAGCTAGAACTGGGTCATTGTTTACAGAGAAATCACAAAAGCTGTTATAGGAAAGTGATGAGGTGCTGGCTGCCTGCTGGGCAGATACAATGTCATATTCCCACACCTCATTGATTAGCTGCAGTTTGTGATTAAACTTCTTCAATACATCTTCTATGTGTGGAAAAATACAACAGAATTCCAAGTTAGTGTAATAAATTGAGATGTGATGATCTAAACTGGCTCACTGTCAAGATATAACCTCTACAGGTTAGTTAGGCATCCTTCAGTCTCGAAAGACTATGGTAACATGCTCTGTATGGAGGACTTGGAACAGCGTCTAGTGTGGCTGAGGAGGCTGATTTGAGAGTGACAATCCCTTCCACACTGAAGACAAATCCAATCTGTCCCCTGTTCAGCTCCCTGATTTTGCTGCTTTCGGGACTGCTTCTTTGCCTCGGCCTGCTGGACAACGGTCTCTTCAAATTGGGAGAGGCCATGATGCAATGCCTGCCTCCAGGCTGAACGCTCAGATGTCAGGGTTTCCCATCTGTTGAGATCCATTCCTAAGGCCTTCAGATCCCACTTGCAGATATCCTTGTATTGCAGCTGTGGTCTCTACAGTTAAAGTCCTGAAGAATGGAGGCAACTGTCCATTCCTCAGTGTTACAGCTTACATAAAAAATAAGCTGTCAGTAGATGGCTCTTCCCGTTAAAAAACAATTGGTTGATCACTAGAGTTGGAGCCTATTCTTAAATGTCAGTCAAGAGGCAAGCCTATGTCACCCACCATAGCAATCCCACGTGCACAATGTAATCTCACCAGCTAAACTGGGCTGCTGCTCTTTTGCCTTTTCCAGCTCTTTCTGCAAGCTCTGACAGCTAGCCTGGGATTTGTGGAGTTCTTCACTAATCTCATCCAACCTCTTCTGTAGTGGGACTTCTCTTTCCTTCTGGGATATCTGCAGGAAGGAGATTGGGGGGGGAATTAAGTTGGAAGACAAAAGGAGGCAACTAAGGAGAAGAGTGCTTTTTAAAAGCCTCATCACTTCTAGGAGGTCACAAGAGGGCACTATCATACAATCTTACAAAGCATTCAAAGACTCAGAAAACGTCTCCACTAATTACACTGACATCATTGCCATTAATGAAACTTTGCCACACAAGTACGCTTATTGAAAAGCAACAATTGCATTAGGTTCAATGCAACAAGTCATGGAGCAAATAGCAAAGTTGGGACTCTACTCTGACTTTAAAATTAATAAAACAAAATCCAAAATAGCAAATTTTTAACAAAAAAAGAAGAAAATGATCTCATAAAACTTACAGGGTGCAAAATCAGAGATAAACCAATAAAGTATCTAGGTATTTATTTAATGGGAAACAATAAAACATTGTTTGAAGATAATTACAGAAGAGTATGGGGGGAAATATAGAAAGATTTTAAAAGATTGGACAATCAAAAACTCTCTTGGCTGGGAAAAATATCCTCTATGAAAATGAATATAAGACCAAAAATTAACTTTTTGTTTCAAATTATTCCAATTACAATTAAGAAAGAATCTTAAAAGGCTGGCAAAGGCAAATAAATGAGTAGACCAGATAGGTGGGGTATAAATAAAATAAATAAAATAAAATAAAATAAATACATTTATATGGAGCGGTAAAAAATGAAGGATAAAATTCAAAGTATTACAAGATGAAAAGAAAAGAGGAGGTCTGGCAGTGCCTTATATTAAATTATACTATCAAGCAACAGTTTTACTATGAATTATAGATTACATTAAAAAAAACCCAAATGACAGGTACTGGAATCATCAAACCAAAGTGAAGGCTTACACAATCTTTTATGGAAACAAAAAGTAACTAAATCTTGCTATACAAGCCATATAATCAGGGGTAGCCTCCTGAAAACATGGGGCTCTCTAAAATTGAGGATTAGCCCAACATTGTCTCCAATAATGGCACCCACAGATGCATATTACAAAAAGCAAGAGAGAATGTGCCACAATTTTATAACCTTTCACGATATGACAGATTCACAAGGAAGAATTAAATCATGGCACGTAATCAGAGAAGATAGAAAAAAGATAAACTGGCTACCCTATCACCAGTTAATTTCAAGATAAAAAAAGACAACACAAGACAATAGGGGAAGATAAAGAAATTTAAAAGAGTTTGAGAGAATAATTACACAAAAAAACTGAGTAACTATCAGGACACAAGTTAAGGAGAGGAAGGGGCGGGGAATAGGTGGGGGTGGGTGGCTGCCTATCGGCCCATGGATCAGCACAGAATGGGGAA